AAATGGAACAAAATTAATTGAAACTAGTTTATAATTTGATTTGATTTTCTATATTTCATCCATCAATAAATGAAATGTGGTGAAATACCTTTATATATCTCTCAAATTTTTGTGTTCTTTTCATATGGACCTTCAAGAGCTATGCCCCAAGGAGCTAGCTTTTATAATTCTGAGCTCCTACTTCAGAATGTAGTTTTATATTTAATTCAGCATGTTTGATTGTTGCTAAGCATCCACTTGGTGCAAATTAATAGTAACACAAACAGTAGCTTCAAAAGCTGAAAACAGGATGGGATTGGAGCGGGTCGTTGGGGGAGACTAGACTAACTTCCCTCTGCTTTGGAAAAACAGATTTCACCTGTGAACCCCCAGAACAATTTTTTTTCTTTTTCTTTTCTTCTTTACTAGAGGGTCCTGGTCTAGTAAAGAAGAGAGTACAGGTGCGGAGTTGTGATGGTTAAGTGCTCAGAGACTCATTGGCTCCTGTCTAATTCTTATGGTAGGAAATAAAAAAGGCTCATTTGTAGAAGAGAAATGCCTGGCAGGCAAAGAAAGATGACAGATGGATTGAGCTGACCGCAGGTATGGGAGGAGAAGAAATGACTCGGTGTAGTCTTGCCAGCTGCTGGAACCTGCAAATGAAGCCAAGGGTCCGTTACTGCAGGAGAGACACTCGTAGGCATGTGAGCCTGAGGACAGCTGACAAACCCAAAGACTGAGCAACGGAGAAGTAAGTTCAAGCTTAGCAAAGATATGTATGATCATGGTACTCGTTTAGAGAGAAACTCGGGCTGGATGTGTTGAGCCCACCCAAGTCCCAAGTTTGGCCCCTCTGCTTTAAACAAATAACAACAAAAACAAAATATATGGAAATTCATGTTTACAGAATTAGGTAAATGAGTTACTGATAATTTGCATTTAATAATAATTGCAATGGTTTAAAATATTCCATCCCCAAAGGGAATGCAATGTCCTGTTCAATTTCCAGAAAAACCCAATGCACAAGCAATTCAAAGAGTGAACTGGTGTCTGTTTTACTTACTGTTGGATCCAGAACCAGAATGGTTTTGGACACATGGTATGTATGCAGTGAATATTTATTGAATGAGTAAATAAGTGAATGAATGAATGAAACAACTTTCATTTATACCATGTGTACTTGGCACTGAAGTAGCTGCTGGAAGTGTAAATAAGACCCAACTTTCAGGAATCTCAGATTGTAAGTTGGCATGAGCCAACAAGATGACTTCAGACAGTCATTAAGTACAATGAGGAAAATTGATCAGGATTATGTGATAGAAACTGACTCAGTAAATGTGACGAGGGCAAAAAGAGCTTTAAATCAGGTGGTCAGAGAAGTCCTGAGTGATAAGGGAGACCCGGTCATGGGGACGATCTAGATTTGTCCTTGACGATTTCTTCAACAAGCACTGTATGACATTTATTTGACTCAAATTAATAGAGCTCTGCTTAGTTCATTCTGGAAGCATCTGCTTCAACTGTTAGTCAACACGGTTTACAGGCGTAGATGCGGCTTTTCTTCCTAGATCTTGCAAAACTTGGAAAATCCTCAGGCTTTGGGCTCTCCGGGGAACTAACTTTGAAGCTGTAGTATTGAGCAATGTTTTCTAAAATATGTCCCCATAGACAGAAGACAGCCATAGAGGCACCCGTCCAACAAAGAGGTCCTGTGGTCAAATATGTTTGTGACCCAGCTCGTGAACGCTGCAGTCTTGGAGGCGTCCGACAGCAGAGTAGCTCACGTGTATTACATGTGTCCTGATGTTTTCTCAACTTACTTTTAAATTTTACTTTAAACTTATTTTCTCCTCTCTCTGTGCACTTGTAAACAACAAAATACAGTTTGGGAAATACTGTTGTAGTGTTCAAGATGAAGCTTTGGCACAAAGGGAAAAGGAGGAAGATGATTCTTGGCCCGTAAGCCTTGCAGTTACTTCTAAAATGAGATATTTACACAGACTTATCAGGAACTTAAAATCAGCTCTAGAGATCATCTTTATATGCGTCAGCCGCTTTGACTAAACCCGTTGAACTGATAAGAGACTTACCTATGTTTAGTTTTTTGGCTAGTAGAGGTCTTTTTTTTAAGTTGTTCTTATGTGAAAGACGGATAAATTTGGGGTCCTGCTCTTTTGCTTCCTAATATTTAACAGTGTCCCAGCAGATCTGCCTTCGCTTTGGTTTGGTTTAGCACAAGGCAAGCAGTAGAATACGGCAGAAGCTCCATGAGGTTTTACATGTGAACACCACCCTCAGTTCCATCATTTCATCACATACTAGAGATGATTTTAGGCAAATTACTCAAACTCTCAAAGCTTCACTTTTCTCATCTGGTAACAGGGATAGTAATCACTCTATCCTGCTCTTTGAAGGAGGAGTCAAGCTGATGTGAAGGCCCTGGAGGTCAGTGTCATTCTAGCCTCCTTCTTGAGGACAGTGTATTCTCCCCCTAAAAGTCTTCAATGCCCCCTGGAGATTCAGTGAGAGAAAACAGAATGTTTGTTGTTTGCTCTCACAGTGATGACTCACAGGGTGCTGATTTACTGAATCAATTAGTGAAGAAGTAAAATTGGTGTCCTATTTTATCGGTGTAAAATGAGCTACTCTGCAGGTGCCGTGTATGATGGCGACATCCAGAGGCAGGGCTCACCTAGACACCTTCCTGTGCCGTTTCACCCAAACCAATCTCACAGGAGCCCCTGGCCCATGAAGTAGTCTCTTCTTGGCTCTTTAAAATGTTCTAAAGATGTAAAAAAAGTCCAAACAGGTAATGGTTGGATTCATCACATCAGCTGTATAATAATAACTGTGGACTGTCTCTAACTGTCTTCCCCCGGCGCCCCCAGCATCATGGGGCAGAGTCAGCCAGCCTCCGTCTTAGGTGACTGCACTGTTTCCAGTGGACCACACGCAACCAAACACAACCACAATTCAACTTTGATAAGAACCGATTAAGTTGAGCTCACCATTTTAGAAGACTGTTTAACAAAACATAATTTTAGGGCTTAGAGAATGTCCATGAAGGATTTTTTTTTAAGCCCACTGGTACAGAGCCACTACCATGTCACACAGTGTCTTCAGTTCTCAGGAATTCTCTCATGAGTCACTCCTAATGTTAACCCAAATTGGAGCTTATGGTATGCTCTCTTGGTCTGATTGTTTAAGTTTTAATCTTAATGTTGAATTCAGAGCTGTGGAATTTGGAAGAGGAATCACACTACAGGCATGAAGGAAGGGACACAGTGTATCGTGGGAGCTAGGGGAGTGGGAACATTCCATTGCGTACCGTTCTTTCTCCTAGGATGTGTTGCCTCCTGATGGAAAATGGGTATGGTTGCTAAGTGCACCCTGTTGCGTCAGAACACTAGAGGAAAACTAAGTCAGGAGTCTTGGATATAAGAGGCCAGAGACTTGGGGTCCAGGATTGACTCTACCACTTTACTACCTTAGGCAAGTCAGTCTCCGAGTTTTACTTCGCTCTTCTGTAAAATGATAATTTCATAGATTATTTCTAAGCTATCTTCCAGTTTTCTGACTTTATCCTAGTCCAAAATCCATAGCCTTTTCTCTCTTTTCTGACTTTTTCAAGACGTTCAGTTATCTCACTTTTAGGCTGCTTCTTTCCCAGTTAGCTTTCTGTTAAGTCTTTAACAAGAAGCCTACTTATGCCGGGCTCCACAGGGTTCCTACCGGGCTGTCATGAGAGAGAGATTAGGTAGCGTTTGTGTTGATGGAGGTAGAGCCCCCATTTCCTGAATCACAGAAGTCATGACGTTGAACCTGTAGTTCTAAGTGTTGATCTTTTTCTGTATCTGCTGTCGGTACCATATTCCAGTTCTTGGCAAAAATCAATCATTAATTGGTGACTCATCAATCGAAAAGTGTCTCTTACCACCTTCTGTGACCTGAAAGATACGTCAGGAATTACTGGAATAGTAAGAAAGTTAAGGGTTTGTCTCTATTATTGAGGTCTTTATACCCCAGGTAGAGTGAACAGGCTTGTGTAAAGAAGTAAATGATAATGCAGGCAAAAAGACAGCACGTGTAACTTTGTGTGGTTTTGGAAATCAGAGCATTAAAAACTCCAAGGGAGCGGGTTTTGTGGGCAAAATAATTTGGATAATGCTTCATGGGAAAAATGAATGCAAACCCATAAGGAACAGGAAGAATTAGGATGGAAACGACAGATACAGTAACAATTAGGGAAAGTCATGAGGAAAAAAAATACCTGAAAAGATGATGGGGAGGGCCACTGGTTTCCCACTATCTCCTCTTCCTGTGAACTAAACCTTGCCAAACCGTGGTTCCAAGGACAAAGCACGACCCACTGGGCAAATGTCCAACGGTGAGGAACTTTCCTGAAACAAAAAGGAAAGGGAATTTGCACAGGAATGTGCATTGCTGTCTGAAATACAGTCATTGACTTGATTTTTTACCTAGCAATTGCAATAGTTGCGTTTATCCTAGGGCCTAAGGAATATTCGGATTATGAGAGATCCTGTTGGCTGCCTCTGCTTTGCTAAAGTTAACTCTCTTAGATAATGTACTTTTTTCCTGGTCATGTAGGGGCGGGTCAGAACATTCTTTTAGCATTAGGATGGAAAAGTGGCAGGAGTTAGCTTATCAAGTCCCAAGTCTGTTGAGGAAGGTGCCAGTCATGGGAATTTCTTTCAAGGACATTTAAGATGACCCAGTTCTTCCTTTTATGTACAAGAGAGTAAGACCCAGAAGTTTAGGTGACTTACCCAAGGTCATCAACGCCATTTATATATAAGAATAGTTGGGTTATAATTTTACTATAACATTCTTTTTTTAATGAAAAATGTTGATATTACTTTTCCAATCCCTCTGCCAAAATTGTAATATCCCTTTCTGATCCTGTCCCAAACGTGAACCATTTTTTAACATTCTCATGTGTAGCAAAATTTTTATGCCCTTGGACACTAACTTGATGAAAAACTGTACAAGGAATATATATGTCTTGTGGAAAATAAAAACTATAGATAAGTATAAAAAGGAAAATTAAAACCATCTGTAATTCTGTCCCTAAGGAAAACCCTGGCTATATATTCCATATGTCTTTCCTATACATTATACACATATTTTAATCTAAAAGTGAGATTTTGCTCTTTCAACAGTATGCTGTTTTCCTCATTAATATTTGTAAGCAGGTTTTCATGTGACTACATACACTTCTAAGACTCATTCTTGATGCTACATTTAAAAAAAAAAAAGAATGGGAGCCATCTATCCCTGGTGAATTGCTTAAACCCATCCAATAAAATGCAGAGTTTCTTAAAAACTACTGACCGTGCTTGAAAAAAATGCACTTGGCCATAGATATGCAGAAATGTGAAGCTCTTCCCCTTTTAAAATCAGATGGTATTATCAACTCCTATTTTAAGCTTGTTTATGGAACTAGAATAATTCTGAACATAGATATATAAAGGTGATTACAGCAGGGGAGGTTTGACCTTTAAAAAATCCTTCCCTGTATAAACAAGTTCTGGAATGTTTTAAAAGCTCTAAGCCAGTCAATTTCTTTCTTTCGTTCTTTCTTTTTTGATTTGTCATCAACCTGAGTTGTCCATTTGATTTAGAGGATGAAATGGAAATGTATTAGTTTCCTGACTGTACCTGAAGGAGGTGTGTTTGGACACCACGTGCTCCCTGCCTCAAGCCACTGTGGCTCTGCTGGAGTCTCAGGGT